GAAGGTAGTCTCCCTGGCCTACGCATGTTTGGATGTGGATTTGAGATGAGGGTTGTTTATGCTTTTTCAGTTTTCTGTGGCCATTGGGAGAAGGGGAAAACTTCTGTTTTTCATCAGCATTTTATAGATGTGAAGTCTAAGGTAATTTTCATACTGCAGCCAAACTATGCTTTAACTAATTGTAGAATTACGCCCCCCCCCCCACTTTTTTTTTAAAATTTTGTCTTGATTGTTGAAAGTATTACAGATGTCCCTTTCCCCCTCTACAATTGACCCCCTCCACCTTGCTTCTTCCCCCTCCCCCCATAGGCCTTGACTATACTATTGTCTGTGTCCGTGGGTTATGCGTATATGATATAAGTTCTTTGGTTAATCTCTTCCTATGCCCCTCCACTTCTCTCTGATATACATCAGTCTATTGCATCTCTAGATCTGTTTTGTTCATCAGTTTATTTTGTTCACTAGATTCCACATATATAAGTGAGATCATGTGTCATTATGCTGTTAATATTTGACAAAGGAGGTAAGAGCATACATTTGAATAAAGTCAGTCTCCAATAAATGGTGTTGGGAAAATTCTATAGGTACATGCAAAAACAAACAAACAAACAAAAAAAAACAACACGAAACTAGACCACCATACACAAAAACAATCTTAAAATGGATAAGAGACTTAAATGTAAGTGTGAAACCATAAAAATCCATGAAGAAACCGTAGGCAACAAAATATCAGACATCTCATGTAGCAGAATTTTCACTGATACAATGCCTATGGCAAGAGAAACAAAGGAAAAAATAAACAAATGGGTCTATATCAAACTACAAAGCTTCTGCACAACAAAAGAAACCAGCATCAAAATGAAAAGGGAATTTACTGTATGGGAGAACATATTTGCCAATGATACACCTGATAAGGGGTTAATTTCCAAAATATATCAAGAATTTATACAACTCAATACCAAGAAAACAGACAATCCAATTAATTGATGGAATTCCTCTTAATTTTTATGGCTGTTTATTTGGAACATTTCTGAGTACTTGTGAAAGGCGAAGAACAGAGATACCTATGGGGACTGTATATACCAGGCACACCTAAATTTGGTCCTTTTGAAACTTGGGCAGTGCCCTGCTCCCTTGGCTCTAGAGGCCAATACATACACCCACCACCAATTAAAGTTCACCCTCAAACAACACTACACTGCTCCCTAAGTAGTGCATGTACCTAAATGAGACCTGAGAAATTTCAGACGCTATGCCCTATCTTCTCTTGAATTCTGGAGAGTTCCAAAATTACAAGACGTCTCTGAGTTTGGGTTACCTGATTAAAATTAGAAGCACTGTTAAATCCATAAAAATACCCTGTAATGGAAAACGACTAAATCAATTTGGTTTAAAATGAATACACTTATTTTCTTATTTTGTTGAGTTCAAATGCATTTTGGTATGTCCTAGTAGAGAAGAAGGTGAGGAAGGAGGCTGTTTCCTAGGTCAGAGTAATGGGAGATGTGGATTCCCTTCCTGGCTTTTTCTCTAGTGTGATGTTAGGCAAGTTGGCTAACCTCCATGTGCCTTAGTTATCTCAGATGCCAAGTGGCAGCTTGCCTTCTAGGTCGAGTTCTTGTAAAAATGAGAAAATATTTCTGTCTTGAAAATGTTAAAGCCATGGTGATTACTTAAAACTATGTAGCATTTAATATGAAATGGATACTCTTAATAACCACGTGCAAAATTAAATTTAAGAGTCACTATTGGGACATTATTTCTCCAATTAAAATTTTCTGTAATTGGGATTGAACCCTGGCTGGAATTTGTATCAGACTAATTGTGTTCATAGTGAATGAGTTAGAAATTTAGTCCATGAGTTCCTTGCTTTCTGAGGAGTTGGATGTGAGAATTCAGTATTGGTTGCAGGTTCTCAGTTACCATGGCATTAGTCATTAGTCTAACAACCTTGTTCTTCTAGAGGAGTTAGAAACAGTAATCCCTCTGGCTTGGGGAATGCTTATCTGTTTAGATTCCCTGTCTCCAAGCGGAGTCCCCTCAGGGACCTGGGGAGAGGACGAAGGGAGGCCCACTGGGCTCCCTGGGACAGAGACCAGGAGACCTCGCTGTGTTCTACTTCCCACTCATTGTGCTGCCCAGGCCCTATCACTTGGGAGGCCTGCCAAGGAAGTGAGGAGGAAGCACATGCCACTACTGGTTCAGAATGTTCCAGCACAGTTGGAAAGTTTGAGATGTGGCCTGGGTGAGAAGAACAAGACCTTATTGACAGGGTTCAGTCTTGTCAGGTCTGTTTCACATCAGCTTTCTACATAATCAGAGCTCTCTTGCCCCCATGGGCCTTTAGCACTTTCACCTCTGTCTCAAAAAATACAAGAAAACTAACACTTTCGGTGCAACTGTGTTAGAACATAAAGCATTTTAACTTTTTATTCCAAGAGAAATTATAAAATGTGAAAAGTTTGGTGTTGCTTCAAAATGATAACACCAACAAGATAAAACAAAAATGCATACTTCTTAGGCTTTCCCACTTACCGTAACAGTAGTCATCTTACTGTAAATGCTTTTTCTATTAAACTGTTTTCTTATTGATCACTTTGTAAGAGTACTGACTATTCTCACATTTCCGATGATCATGGAGAATGATTTGGCTTGTCCTGGTCAGAATTATTTAAACCCCTTATCTGATTTAGTTTGCATATTGGATATATAAAAATTATGCAATTGTGTATATTTTAAGGTTGAAAGGAAAAGAAATATGCCAAACTGCTTTTCTTTTTCTCCACTTGAGTCTGCCAAACCAGAATATTTACATCAAAATGTCAGAAGAAAATCTACTGGAAGTTTTAGTGAGCCACAGAGTATATCCCCTGTATGCCTTGCCTAATCATCTTGCTTAAATTTATGCATGACTTCTGAATTAAGTAGTAAACATTCTCTGGGCAGTTCTGTCATTTTCCAGAACTTGTAGGTGTCTCCAAATCAAATAATGGTAATAATAAGAACCTTTCTTTTTTCTGGTATATTAGATAAAAACTTTTGAAGTTAAATGGATTATTTTAAGCTTTTTGTTGTTTATTGTTTGTTTGTTTTTAATCCTCACCTGAAGATATTTTTCCCATTGCTTTTCTGAGAGAGTAGAAGCAGGGAGAGGAAAGAGAGAGAAACATTGATGTGAAAGACATACATCCATTGCTTGCTTCTCGCACGAGGGATTGAACCTGCAACCCAGGCACATGCCCTTGATCATGAATCAAACCTATGACCCTTCAGTACACAGGCCAATGCTCCAACCATTGAGCCACACAGACTAGGGCTAAGCTTTTTTTAAACAGAGGAAATCAAAGAAGACCTGAATATTTCCAGCTATTTTTGAGTAAACAGATTTCTTAGTTGGTGCCTCCCATTTTTTTGGGCTTCTGGATGGGATGGAGAGGACCTACCTGGACTAAAAACAAAAGAGCAGTTACAGGATTCCTTACAAAATGTCTGTGCAATTCATTTTCTGAGCAAGGCTGGTGACTTTTTGTAATACCTCTAGGATGGCGATTTCTCATACTTTCTGTACCTGCCAGTGACACATGGAATATATTAGTTAAATGGACCACTCTTACCTAGAAAATTTTAAATGAATTATAAAAAAATGGTTGAAATCCCTGTGTTTAGTCAGACACCCTTAGGCACTTTTTTTTGTTTTTAATCTTCACCAGAGGACATATTTAGAAAGACAAAGGGTGAGAGTGAGAGTGGGAGAGGGAGAGAGAGAAAGATAAAAAGAGAGAACCATTGGTTGCCTTTTGTACATGCCCCAACCTGGGATCCAACCTGCAACCCAGGAATGTGCCCTGGATGGGAATCTGGCAACCTTTTGGTGCATAGGACAGCATTCAACCTACTGAGCTACATTGGCTGGGCTAGACACCCTCATTTAATGTAGAGATTAACTGCATGGTTTAAGATGCATACACATTAAGTATTTATTATTTTATTAAAAAGATGAACAATTTTCTTTTAAGTTTGTGTGCACGAACACATCTATTTAGTGATAATAATACAAATCTGAACATATCTACCACCCTCACACCCTGACCTCCACCTCAAAATCCTTTCTATAGTGATTTTACAGAATCCTTGGATTAGAAGCAACTTCTCACCATGCCTGGAAGGCCTCCCTACAAAGGCGCTCTCCTTCCTCCTCTCCACCAAGGTGTCTTTTCTATGATGTCAATACCCTGGTGTTCTCTGCCTCCTCCTCACACTCACCCTGCTCTCTCCTCAAACCTCTATAACCACTTTCTCATTCCTTCCCCAAAGATACCTTTTAGCAACTCTCAGAATTAGAGTTTTGTTTTACCAAGACTTTCTACTTTGCCTCACATATTTTGTATATTTTACATGGGTGGTTTTTAAGCTTTTTTTTTAATCTCATGGCATATAAACAAATTGTTTAAATTCTGTGGCAAAAATACTTTTGCTGATATGTCAAAAAATAGGTATAATTTTGATTCATTCATACAGGATGGCTATTGTGTTGGCTGTTGCCATTTTTTTATTTCACAATCTAGGGAAAAGAGTTTGGTGACCCAAACTAAATAGTTAGATATTGCATGTTTTAAAAATTATTGGAGTACATTAGTTGAAATTTGCTGTTTTAGATGTTAGTGTGGCCAAACCTAACTCTAAATCCATCTCCTTCTGAAGCATCATGTTCTTTCTTTAGTCCCATGTTAACCCCCTGGATTTTAGCTTATTTCTCTGTATGACAATGATAACACTTTACTGTGCATTCAGATGAAATAATTATGAAAATATATTGTCAACTGTGGGGCACCTCTTAGTGTTTACCATCTTTATCTGTATTACTTTTATTTTATTTGCCATGATTCATAATTTAAATTTATAGAGCCTCTTAAATGCTTTCCTCAAAACTCCATGTCTTGGCTGCCTTCTTGACTGGCCATGATGGGACTGATGTTTTTCAATTTTCCTTCTCTTCCCAGGATGGTTCATACTTGGCTGAGTTCCTGCTAGAGAAAGGCTATGAGGTGAGTGACTCAGTGAGCAAGCACAGGCTGGTGGAGTCACTCGGACACAGTGGCCTCCCGCTTCCTCTGCTGCCGTCCTCCTGTGTGTGTTTTCCACTGAAACTCTGATAACAAATCATAATCAGGGGAAGAATGTGCCTTTTGGCTTGTAACCATGCCAGCTCATTGTGCTGTTTATCTACTAGTGAGCACTGGTGGCTTCCCCTGTTCCTTAGTGTTTAACTGCTCTGCACGCTTCCCACATTCTCAGATAAAGCAGCAACCTGTGTAAGTTAACAGCTATAACATCATTAGGGTTAATTTACGATGTGATGTGTTACATAAAAAAGTTCCACTCACAGTGAAGTCACTTAATTCGGAAATTACACAGAGCAATAAAAACCAAGTTGATCTCAGGCAAACTTAAATGAAAAATTAACACTTACTGATTTTGCTTTCTGAAAGGTGGCCATATAATTTATGGTAGCTGAAACTTTGGGGTTTGCTACTATCATTATCATTTTATTGCTGTCTTCTTTTTCTCCTCCTTCTTCTTCAACAATGCCTGCTTTCTTTAAAAGAAGCAAGGGTACTGTATTTTAAATTTGATACAGCTTTGTGTGTACGCCTTACCTTTTTAGAAACCAGTTTTCAAATATGCTTATCTATATAAATTCATGTTATACAGAGAACAAAAACCTGCAGAATGATCCATATGCCCTGGCCTGATTTGGGAGTTTTTACATTAATCATTTTGGATTCTCTGTTTATCCCAATTGGAAGTGCATCGCTCTATATGTAAATGGGCAAACACCAGCAAGGAACTTGGCATCTAACCACCAAAAGGATTTGAAGGAAACTTATTTTATTACTTTAACTCATAATCCTTTCTGAGAGCCTTGACTTTTAGACTTTAAGAAGTCAGTGGTGGAGTGTGTGTGAGGAGACATGTGTACTACTATTTGTACTACCTTAAACAATAAAATTAAATTTAAAAACAGAAAGAAAAAGAAGTAATGGCGGGTATGTTTAGTACCTTTTGTACTCTTATCTAATAGCTATTTCTGCATCTTGTAATAATATGAGAATAAGGCCATGTAATTATGAGTGTATTATAATGTACACATATATTTATATAGTAGATTCCTACTATAATTGAGTGATAGACACATATTCTAAAGAGCAACAGATTTTAGAATAGATTATATGTCGTTTAAAAGAGTGTTGTTTTTTTTTAGGTGCAGACTTTTTAAAAAATATATACTTTTATTGATTTTAGAGAGAGAGGAAAAGAGAATGAGAGATAGAAACAAAAATGAGAGAGAAATATCAACATTGATCCATCGGCTGCCTCCTGCACATTCCTTACTGGGGATTTATACTGCAACCTATGCATGTACCCTGACCAGGAATCTAACTGGTGACCTCTTAGTGCATGGGTTGACATTCAATCACTGAGTTACACCAGCCAGACCAGAATCGTTTTTATTCAGGGTAGATTAACATAATCTTTCAGTAAATCTAAAAGGAAAGGTGTGACAGAGACACCTTGTACAAACAAGGTGTCTTTGGTAGCTAGAGAGGAGTTAGTGTTTGGGTTGTATAATGAGTAAAAGAGAAGGTGCTGAGTAATAATTCATGAGTTCAGAACATGCTACTTGAAAATCTGGCACCTTGACATAATGGATATTTTAGATGAAGGAGTCTGAGAAAATGGCAGAAGTTTCTCCTGTAAATCTGTCTTTGTCTGTTTAATATAGAGGAGGGAAAATTTTTCCTTCACCCTTCTAGGGTCCCTGGCTGGGTCTGAAAATTAAATTGAAAAGCAAACAAATTTATTTAATAAAAGTTTTATACAACAGGAAGCTTTCATGAGGAACTGAAGATCTGAAGTATTGAAACCTAAGTATTTTTATATTAGGTTTGATGGAGAGGGGACAGTCATGGAGAAGTATGGTAGGTCGAGAATTGCAAGGTAAGTGTAGTACACTGGGGGAAACCAAATCCTATTTGTTTTGGGATGTTAGAATGCTCCTTTTCTCTGTGTGTAGAGAAATCACCTTTTACATGAGGGCTCTATGACTGCTTCAAGGGAAAGGGCAGGGGGAAGGTCAGAATGGCCATCCTGCTTCTGCCATTTTCTAAATCTCCTTCAGCATAAATTACTCAATATGCTAAGATGCCCTATTTCTAGGTAGTGTTCCCTGAACCTCATTGTAGTCATCACAGTTGTGGAAGAGAGAGGTGGTACATCAGAAGGAATGCTCTGACTGCATAGGTGTTAGGGTCTACTTACAAGGTGGGCACAGGGTACTGAGACTTGAGATGAGGATGGTGGGAATAAGGAGTGTCTGTAGCTAGTCCAGAGAAAAAGGAATGGCCTTGTGAGGTATGGTGGGCTCTGTGACAAGTGTTGGACTAATGATAGGATCTGGTGTCTGTGTTAGGTGGTGGACAAGTGATGGGGCCTAGTGTCTGTGATAGATGGTGGACTAGTGATGGGGCCTGGTGTCTGTGATAGATGTTGGACTAGTGGTGGGGCCTGGTGTCTGTGACAGGTGGTGGATAGTGATGTGGCCTGGTGTCTGTGATAGATGATGTACTAGCGATGTGGCCTGGTGTCTGTGATAGCTGGTGGATAGTGATATGGCCTGGTGTCTGTGGTAGATAGTGGACAGTGATGGGGTCTGGTGTCTGTGATAGATGGTGGACAGTGATGGGGCCTGGTGTCTAGGATAGGTGGTGGACTGGTGATCGGGTCTGGTCTCTGTGATAAATGGTTGACTAATATTCAGATTTGTGGACTAGTGATCAGTCATGTGGTTCCTCTGGATGTGGTGGATGGTAAACATTCTCAAGTATTTGTCTTCCACTGGCATTTGAAATTTTAAGAGCAGATCAGATTCTGATAAAGATAGACAATAGAAGGCCCAGTTGGCAAGTCATAGTCAGTGGGTGTCATGAGTCATTGGAACAAAGATTGGCAAGAGAAGAGAGGTTGAGGAGTGAGATTCCCTAATGTGATATAAAGAAACATATAGATAATACAGAGGTACAAAGCATAACCAGAAATGAGATGTGAGTTATGTAGGAATGAGGTGGAGTAAAAAGGTTTTTACCTAAAATGTATTCAGTTTTAATAGGCTACTGTCTGCAGTTTGAAGAGATTGATAAAATTGGAGAATAAGTATTGAAAGGAATAAGTATTGCTAGTAGCACAGGCTTTATCTTTCCATATTAGATCAAAGTAAATATGAGAGTGATTTTTTGAAGAGGCTACATTGGAAAATTTCCAGAATTATTAGTCAGCAGTGCCTGGTTGCTTAAGACCATGAGCAAAATAACAGGGTTCTTAAATAGCATGTCATAGGATAAGAATAGGATACGTATCTATAAGACAGGGTCAACATCAGCAATTTTGGATGGGCATAGACTTCTAATTCAGAATGTGCTCAATTTTCAATGTGCATCAGAATCTTCCAGAGCCCTTTGTAACACAGATGGCTGACTCAAAGGTCTGGAATCTGCTTTTCTAATGAGCCCCTAGTTGTAACTGATGCTGCCCTCCTGGGTACTACAGTTTGAGAATGAGTGCAAACTAAAGATTCAGATGAGATAATTAAATCATAAGATAATTTGTGGGGACTTGCTTCTCTGAGTTTTCATATAATTTTGAATCTGAACTTTGTATAAGGAATATTACTAGGCTCAAAAGTAACTGCAAACAATATTCTTTGGGGCAGCAATGTATAAGCAGGAGCAAATAAACACTGAGAAGAAGAGCTATAAATTCTATAAATAGGCAATACTGAGGCTGAGTTCTTAGAAAATAGAGGGGCAGACTTTAACTAGCTAGCAAGCAAGGTCAGTCTTTTATTGTGAAAATGGGGAAGCAACAGTCAGCTGAAGGGAGGCAAGTTGAAGAATAGATGGGTGGTTGGGTAGGATGATGGGCCTGCATGGGCAAGTATAAACTCGGTAGAAAGTTAACATAACACAATTAAATATACCTCTTTACTCCTTTTTAGTAATAAAGAAAACAACAACCAACAAAGTAAAAGTATAAAAAGGTTGGCTAATCTTAAAGTAAAAACATACATCAGCAAACAACTTGAAAAGTAATGTCATATATTAATAGATTGATTAGTCTATATTAAATACCTTGTATGAGTTCACACATTAGATACAAAGCTGTTTGACATAATTACCTAATTTGGCCCCTGAAATCCTCCCATCTAGTCATGTTTTGAATGAACTATTTTCATGTGAAAAAGTGAAGGAAAGCTTCATCCCTCGACTAGTTCTCATTGAGAAGAGACTCTATTTGAAGGTTTAAAGTTACAGTTTTAAATCTTGATTGTTTCTTGAATTATTGAGATTAAATATTAAGGAGAGCATAAAGAGAATGGGTCTAACTCTAGTTCATTATTTATACAATATCTATAGGTGCCACTCATGATGAGGAAAACACTAAGAATTGTCAGGTTTATAGAATATCACCCTTTAAAATGTTATATATTTGCTCTTTAAAAAGATAAAGAAAAGAGGAACAAAATTATAAAGAATAGAATGGATACAATTTAATTGTAAATGTATTAAAATCTCTAATCAAAAGACATAGTATAGCTGCATGGATTAAAAAACAAGACCCACCCTGGCCAGGTTGGAGTGTGGTCCCATATACCAAAAGGTTGTGGATTTGATTTCTGGTTAGAGCACATATCTAGGTTATGGGTTTGATCCCTGGTCAGGGTGAGTATGGGGCAACCAATTGATGTTTTTCTCTCTTCCTTCCTCTTTAAAATCAATTTGAAAAGAAACCTCACATATCCTTGAGTGAGGATTAAAAAAAAAGAAAATACCTATTTATATGTTGTCTACAAAAGGTCTACCTCAGAACGAAGGACACACGGATGAAGTAAAAGGATGGAAAAAGATACTTCATGGAAATGGTAACAACAAAAAAATGTGTGGTAGATATATTTGTATCATGCAAAACAGACTTCAAACAAAAGTTATAA